AGGCAGCCTTTCGCTCGTACGATCCGCCGACATACTAAAGGTTAAGTATTGATTGGAAAGTTTGCCTGGTACATGCGAATGAGTCTATCGGCGAGCGTGGATTCGAGTCCGTACGCGGAGCGTAGCTAGCAAAGAGCCGGGCAATACTGACACCCACGACGAGAGAATAATAAGCCATGCGGCCATCGGATGTTTCTGCGCGACTGTAGGGAGAAGGTGGGTTGGCGGGACTAGGCTGTGGCTGTTGAACCAGTGCGATGGGGGATTGTGACAAAATAGGCAGCTTGAGTGTGTCACTGGCGACAAGCGAGGTTGTTGCTGCGATGTGCCCAGGCTGTAAGCGCCTGAAGAAAGCATTTAACTGGGAGGCGGCCTAGCGACAACCCTGCTGCTCGGAAGGCATTGACCAACGTAGCATCATGGCGCCAGGGGTACGGCCCCAGATATTGCACAAGTATTTCGTTCAATGAGACAGGAACAAAGTTGGCAGGGAGCCCGAGACATTCTTGTCTTCGAGGCTCAAAGCAACGCCCGTTGGGAGATAAGTTGGCCATTCGTAGTAGTTACGTATACTCGTGGACTGGAGAGCCGTAGATCTTGGACGAGAACATGTGCTTGTACAAAACAAGACACAGATCAGCCAAGCTGCATGATGTTAATTCGGCCAATGGGCATGCTTAATGCAGTAGAAGGTTGGTGGTCGGTGTGCAGCCAGCTCAAGCGCGACTAATAAGATGGACCAGCCGGGGTAGCGTTCACACCATCTTGGCGAGTCTGGCTAGATCCCTCGAGGTGTATCAGAGCCAAGACAACTGTTAAATTGACAAGACGACGAGTGATGATATGATTTGATGGATGCAAGCGCCATGACGACGAGCGAGCGAAGAAAAGTGATGGTCAATTTGACCATCCACGGACCGGTGTTGGCAGCTGGCAGCCGGCAGTCGGCACTCACTCGTTTGCGCCTGTCCGTTGCGGCTGTTGTTGATGCGTACTTCTCGGCTGTTCGCGGCCTTGGGCAATTGACATTGGGGAATGTTGGACTCTTTTACTTCCGATACTGCTTTTCTCTGCTTGACTTCCTGTTTTCCCCTTACTCCTAGGTAGTAATTCGTAGCTACCGACCAATTCCACGGGAACCCTTCACCACCCCCTGTAACCTCTCTACCTACAGAGTTACATCAGTACTGTGCTAACTGGCAGTCCCCAGGCACCGAATTCCATCGCTTACCTTTGAACCTATGTACATACCTATGTACATAGCTTGGGACCTTGCCCCATCACACAGGCATTTCAACATCTCCTTCCGAGCCTGTTAACTTTTTCACATCACGTTGCCCTTTACCTCCATCGGCGGATTACTTTTCGGGCTATCTATCCAGACCTACCAAGCCCCCGATGAATCATGTGGCGCGACGGGCCGCAGCATACACGGCCGCGGCGTGCATCACCACCCGCCTCTGCCAAACATCCTCGTACCAACGCCACGAGGTCGCCAAGTTTGGCCCCCGAGTGGCGTCTATTGCCCTTGCAACCTTCCGTTCTGGGGATTGACTCGCATCTTCGCCCATGAACAGGTCCGCATAGTCTTTTCCGTCCCGCAATATCAGCGCCATACTGTTCTGAATCTGTCAATGATCCATTCCGCTGCTTTCATTTCGAATCGGCCGTTTTCCTTCTCAGCCTGCCAATTTGAAGGATCTTGTTCGGTTTGACCACCGATAGAGTACTTTAAGCTGTCGCCCTGCCCCTCTCAAAGGTTCGTTGCTCGTCACCGACCTTTTAAACACTCGATCGACCTACTTATGCACTCATGCGACCCAACATGCGGCCACGATGCACGACAACCGGCATTGCATTGGCTTGCCGCGGAACCAACATTTCTGTTGGTACCGTATACCCCTCTTTTGTGTCCATACCGCCTGCTACCGCCTGCAACGGCGGCGAAGCGCAGTGCCGCCAGCCATACGTTCGTTATCCGACCTGCGCGCTTCTTGCCCACGGCAATGTTGCTTACCGCCGCTAGAATAGTCGCCGACCCGGCACATCAGCCCTTGTACATTTGTACACTGTCAAGTGACTCCAACGGATTCCCTCACCGACTACCTCCTCGCTCGTCTCTGGGTACTTTGCATCCTCGCACCCCTATTGCATAGAGCAGTCGACCGTGGCGGGTTACATTTGTTCGTTTAGCGCGCTAATACACCCAGTCTGAGTTCACGCCAGCCGGCATCGTCAAAGAATCTCGGAAGAAATCCGAAGTCAACTTGTCATTGCCGAACAGTTGATTGAAATCCTTTATTTTACTAGCTAGTGGTATGAGCTCCTTCGTCTTTCCTGCCAACCAAGCGGATCTGTACCTGGTCCCCGTTAAGCAGAGCAAGCTATACGGCTCCTGCCTAGATTCGCGATTTGATCATCCCTCCATGTTCGCAATTTTGGCTCTAAATTTGCCAGGGATTACTAAATTTGTGCGATTATTCAATTGGCTGCTCGTCTGAGGGAATAATTCTGTACCAATCTAACCCTTTCAAAGTGTGCTCTTATATCGCGCCACCGTTTAAGTTGTCGTCTTCCCGCAGCATCCGCAGTCTCGGTGTCAAATCGAGGCACACGATTGCCGCTCTTAACAACATCAAAACTATCAAATAACAAATCCAACGTTACTTTCCTGGATTCCTGGGATAAATCACTTCGTCAAATTGGGAGCCAATCATTCTTCAGTGTAAGCGCCGAAAGTGCTGGCTCTCACAATCCCCCCACACTGGCTCGCTAGGGCTCAGCTTCGTGACTGGGGTAAGTGATAATCACACCGGGATGCCAAAACTGGTAGTCCAATAACGAATTGGAGGTTTTAAGACCTGCGTCGGGTAAAGACAATATTGGCAATTACTTAAGAGCCGAGAGTCAGGCCGATGGCCACCCCATGGGGCGTCTAAAAGGTCGACTGACGGCGTGCGCTTCGGGTTCAAGCTTCAACGTCTCGGCTCAAAACTCGTAGGAAGGATGGTACATGACAGCCCAGGACATTTGGGGGCTGGCATGAATGGAAAACTGCGTGGATGTGCGCCATCTGCATCTTGCCAACTCAATCACCAACACGGCTATGATCGTGGACCGACGGCAGCTGCTCTGTCCCTTCCTGTGGAAGCTACATATACGAGACTCTATTTTGATGATGTGAGTGGCTTTCTGAGTGCATATACGGAGAGAGTTTGTTTGAGAAGTTTCATCTGCCGTCCCGTAATGCCTACCTCTTCAACCAAAGCCGTATGCAACGCTACTTCGCCCACAATCCTGATGCAGCACATGAAGTGTACCTACTGGTTTGGGGTATCTTTCGAGACTTACTCTGTAAAAGCTAAAGAATTGAGACACGGGCTCAATATCGGTATTGATGACCCCTCGGCGTTGGGTTGTCAAGAGACCGGGCCGCTTGCTGTGTTTGGAGTTCCTTGTTCGCTGCAACGGCAGATCTTAGGTACTATCTGGCCATCCGCACCCACTCATCCGAAAGAATCTCTGGTAGCTTGTCGGAAATTTGCCAGTCACATCACATACTTCTCTGAGAATCAAAACACGCACTAACAATGGAAGCATACGATGGAAGTTGTGAGTCGTGAGCCTTGGATACTGATCAAGCTTATGAAATGACACTAACACGTGCCAGTTGCTGGACGACTGCGCCTCTCAAAGTTTACGGAGACTTGGGCCAAGGATGCCCATAGTCTGCCAACGAACTCGGATGGACATCGAAATAGGGATCGCTCGATCTCGTTCTCGAACTAGCGTGGGCACGGCGGCCCCAAACGGACACCCGATATCAGCGGCCAGACAACTTGGAAGCAGAGCAGATGAGGTGCTCGTACAACGGGAGACTCGACTTATGGTCACATATCACGGATTACAGACCACAAACAACAGAATATGCTTGGCGCAGAGGCACTAGAACCGACCCGCACCGACATGCTGAGAATGCGCACATGCTGGCGCGCGCTCCGGCAAGTGCCATGGGAGTAACCGATGCGCCTATATGTGGCCTGGTATGACACTTTATGGCAGTGGAGAACATGTTGTGGTTGTGGAGAGATAGCTCGGTACTCGGGCATAAAGCGTTGCATCGACCAGCAAGAAGCGTTTCCACCCGAAATCTCGAAAAAACTCATCTACAGACAAGGCCAAGGCACTATCCGTTGGATTCCGGCGCGGTGGAAGATGCCATTGGATGAGCGACTTTACACGTCATGGGATGGTGGGAAGGCACGAGCAAGAAAAATGGGCGGGCTGGCCAATGGTTGTCGGTGCGACGCACGTGTTTAATGGGTGATTTATACCTTTTTTTTTTCTCTTCCATGTGCCGTTGAGACTGAGCTCTGAGCCGTCGCCGCCCGCGATTGGCGTGTTCTGGCGAGCATTTTCGTGCCCTGTCAGGATGGCCACGTACCTGGAGCAGCCACAAGAATTAGTTACCATTGGCATGCACAAAAAAGAGAGAGAGGGGGTGTGCCTTTGGTCCGTTGGAGAACCCCAGGTTTTTATTACATTCCGCCGTGGCTAGCGTCCAGATACACACGTTGTGCCGGGGCTGGCACATCTGGTCAGCAGCATTACCCCCCGTCCCTTGTCTACACGGGTTACGGGTACCACGGCCCTTGCAAATCCCATGTCATGTCTGACGCAACCGAAGAAAGACTAAACTCATTATTACTCCACGGTTTCAGCATTGCTGTGGGTGTGGAAAAAGAAGCTTGTGTAACTGGATGAGCATAAAAGGACGTGCATGTCCCCCATTCTGGTCCATGGGAAGTCTCAATCTTTTCATTTCTACACCAAGCAAGGCTCTTCATCTTTTGGTTTCGATACCTTCAGTCTCCTCATCTACATTTGAGTTGTCCCAAATTTACCAGCTTTCTACAACGCAGCCACTGCCCAGACTCCCCATCTACACACGCTATACCACCATATCCTTCACCACTTGCCCTTGATATACACATCCCAAGATGTCTTCCAGCCAGAATCAGTTCCTCATCCTCTCTCCTGAGATCCGGTCCGCGACCGTCCCGGCTGCGACGGCTCCGCGATTCCTCTCCCTCGCGCCGGACGTGTCGGACTCGCACCCCCGCGCCCAGCGCACCCGCGCCGACAGCGACGCCTCCTCGTCGACCGCGTCGGCCAGCAGCCCGACGCTCTCGGCCGTGGACGCCGCCGTGCCCGTCGCCAACACGCGCGTCCTCAAGCTCAGCCCGGTGCACTGGGGCGCGCACGTCGAGGACCACCAGGCCGACTACCACGACCTGGTCCAGTCTGAGTGAAGCGGTGGTGTGTGACGCCTTGCCGACTCCTCCCCGGATGCATGGACGAGTCATGGGAGGGGAGGAGTCCCGGCAGATGGGAGAAGCGCCTGCAAGATTTGCGTGCCAGGTTAAAAACAAAAAAACAAGTTTAATACAACCTTAACCAAGGGTTGTGTTTTGTCTGAGACAGCTGCATCCCGGCGTGGTCGCTGCGGAAAGAGATGACTTCTACGGATAATATTTGTGTGTTTTTTTTTTTTTTTTTTTTTTTTTTTTTTTTTCTATACCTTGATCTTCTTGGCTTGTTTTATAAATTTCTTTGTTTTTAAAAGCAGGCAAAAAAAAATTGATAGCATCACATGTCTGGGAGATGAGCTGGCACAAAAGAAGCCCAGAAACAGAATGAATAAATTTAGCATCTTGGAAAAGCAACAACAGCGTTTCATCACCGTGCACACCCACATCATTACTCGCAATCGAATCAGATTCATCTCAACAACGTGGTGCCCGCGAGACGCCTCCTCACCTTTCAGTTGGGCCCTTGCTTGCCACGGCCGCTAGGGTTGTACCGAAAGCCATGGGCGACCAGGGCCCATGGAGTCCGTGAGAGGGACAACGACCCCTGGCTGTACTTGCCTCTTTGTTTTGCGGACAAGTCCAGCAGGAATTCGTGCAGATTACGGAGTAACTAGTTAGTGGTCTAGATGTCCATAATCTTCACCATGTGACCCGTTTCTTGGCGCCCATTTTTCTGCTCTCGGAGCGGTGTGAAGGACGTGCCGCCTGTCTTCTCTTGGGGAGGGGGAAAGGGGAACCGGGGGGTTTGTAATGCAACTGAAAAACAGACGGGGAGAGGAGCTTTCCGATTCGTCATTTTGCTGACAAGATTTATGCCAGAGCTGGCCCTTCGTATTAACGTTAATAAGCTAGAGTTAGATCGCCAAGCAGATGGCAGATTCCGCCCGCCGAAACGATGGTGCCTGCGACAGCTTATTTTTAGTCAGGTTTATTTTATCTGCCAAGGCCCTACAGATGACACCGCACGCGGTGAGGCAACTGTGCTATTCTGAAAAATAATAATCATGTCCTACAGTCGGCGTGTATCTGCGGATTGGGTCATTCAGCATCATGGTGTCGCATAAAGAAACGTCGACTCGCATCTGCTTACCTGGCTCGAGCGCCAGATCTGACGAGATTAGTGTGTCTGTCCCCTCGGAAAGGAAAAGTCGCCACCCCTGTCGCACGGCTGCGTAAGCTTCTTTTTTGTCTCGTCTGCATTTGTCTCGCACTAACGAGTAATAAGAGCCCCTCCCATTACTGTGCCCCCCCTCCGCCAGATTCCAGGCCAAATTTTGTTTGACTCGAGCCCGCCAAGATACCTGACTGAGCACGACCAACCTTGGCAGACCGGGGTTCATACATAGGTGGGAAGGGTCTCTTGTTTCACTGATAAGCCAGTCAAACAAGCTGTAAAGGTACTCGTGGCAATGTATAGGGTGTAGTTCCCAGACGCCAGACGGATAGGCCTCATACGTGCCTCGGACTGTGTGTCACCCCAAGTGACGTGACTATGCGTCTCCCAAACCAGGGCGCAAGATGTGACCGAATAAAAGTCGAGCGGCTGCATTCCCTTTACCTATAATTCGTAGCTATTTTCAGATCCGGCCAAGATGAGGGGTGGGGGCTGCCTCTGAGTGTCGCGCTGCCGTGTTGACTCCCTCAGGATCCAACACCTCTCGCACAATAGCTCGCCAGTCAACCTCAGCGACAGGAGGGCATTTTGCCCCCCGCCTATCACTCCGCAACCCCTTCTTGTGGTACTTGCACCAAGCAGGTGGGTGCCCTCCCGTCAAGAGGAGTCGCGACGACTCGAGGTCCGGATCCGCCAACGCCTGGAAGAAGCCTTTCAGCGGCGGCCTCGTAAACATGGCCGCATCTCGGCTTAACAGTTGGTTGCCTCCCAGCCTGGTCTCGGATGCTTGATACAGCAGCGTGATGCTCAGCGAAGCAAGGCTCCCGGCGAGGATCATGTCGGAGAGCACCGGGGTGACGGCTCGGTCGATCCATCCGCGGTGGCGTCCCACCTCCAGCACGAAATTACGCACTCTTCGCCGCGCCGAGGGCGTCACGAACAGCCGCAGCTTGCCCATCTCGCGCTGCCGCTCCTGCTCCGCGGCTAACGCGCCGTCCGCCGCAGCGCCATCACGTAAACCCGTCCACGCCTCGCCGAGTGTGGTAGCTTCTTCGTGGCAGTGCGCCTGCAACATCTTGCTCTGGAGCGCGCCGTGCCGTCCGGACACGATGGCCAGCTTGAACGTGTTGAGGCTGTACAGCATCGGGCAGGCTATGGCGTGCAGCTGCGGATGCACGAGCAGGACCAGCCGCGCCGTCTCCAGCCGCGCGTTCAGGTCTCCGTGGTCCGGGCAGGGACACAGCTCGATGGGCGCGTCGATCTTCAGCAGAGGTGTCAAGATGAGCGCGATGACGTCGACGGGGAGATCGAGCAGAGTTGTAGGCTGACCGCCTGTCATGGCTGACGAGCCCCCGAGAGCACGGCGGAGAGGCTGTAAAAGGACTGTAGCTTCGTCATTTCCATCAGCATGAGGCTACCACAAGATTGTGTGAGAAAAGGGTCCACTTTTTGTTCACTGAAGAGCCAAAGGCGTATCTACTGCATACGATTCTGGTAGGTATTAAATATGAATAGATGTAGGGCAGAAATAAAAGAAATACATCTACAAAATAGATAAAGTTTATAGGAAAGATAGTAAAGATAGGAAGGGTAAGAAAGTAGGTTGATTCCTCTATGCCTACGGTCCAGGCCCTGTCTTGTTAGTGACCGATCCGATGCACTTAACGCTACCGCCGTCACTGCGCCGTTTGCCCTCACCGGTCCTCCGAGTCATCCCTTTGAATGTCCAAAGACTCCGGGGCAGTCACTCATGAGGACGATAACTAATAACAGCATAAACTGTTTAAGTTACCTCGGTTTTTAGCGGTACTTTTTAACACACTACTGTTTCTGTCCCCAATTACCGATGTGTACACGAAGATTCGGGTAATGATCCCTGTGTTTCTATACTAACACTGTATGTCCTGGCTAGTATGTAATAACCTCTATCATCATACTCTAATTTCCTCTTGCCCCGAGATTGTTTCGACTTATTCCTTAATCTCACGTCCCGTGTCTGATATTATAAACTTTAAGCCATAGTACTGGATGTTAGTAGGAGATAAAAAGAAAAGTCTAAGCGAGTCATCGTCCCAGTCGTCGTCGTCAAACCATCCGGCCCTAATTGTCGTGAGAGCCGGTCCTTTAGTCCCGATTGTTGCAAACGCCTACATAAGTCAATTGTGTCGGTTAATAGGTTAGAAGTTTGTCTTTCGCCAGGAACTCCATCACGCATTGGTCCACTCTGCGTTAAGGCAGGCTCTGGGTCCTCGGAGAGGTATCCATCAATGCGGCAGTCAGCGAGAATCGCGCAGGCGATACGCGCTGTTTCGTGATGGATGCCAAACCGTTGAATGGCTGTCTGTGTGTCTTTGGGAATGATATCGAGTGCTGGTAGTACGAGGATAGTATTAGAGTTGTCCGAGTATCCAGGATGACAACTGATCTGGGCTTCTTCATTCAAAACCCGCCAGCATGGTGGTTAGCATTCGCGGCGGCGGAACTACCCCCGAACGGCATTGTTGGCGTTATTAGCATTAGTGGCATTGTCGACAGTGTTGGCATTATTGGTAACGCTGGTATTGTTCGCGGGAGCCGTAGAAGCAACAGGTGAGAAAAGTGCATGTGAGCAAGCATGCGCTGCTCCAATGTCAGCTTCGATTCGGGTATGACGGGGAGAGTACTCAGGTTGGGGGCTTCACGCATTCGTCAACACGTGCGAGAGCGTCCGCGTCAGACCAGAGGAGAGTAGCAACAAACAACCCTTCGATAAGCCTCTTCTTCCCTCCTGCATAACAAGATTCACAATCAACAGAATCAGACCTAACACAGTCTCTTGTGTGCAAACACTCTAAGTAATGCCCAATCATCACCTTGTGCAACCAAGACCTTGTATCACGGCTGCACAATGATGTTCGGCAACCCTGCGCTCTGTAATAAACGGGCTCGGTTGATGTGAAGGCCAAGTTGGCGCTGTCGTAGCGGGTTCATCAGCACTGGTCGCCGCACTGCCAACCTCCACTCGCAGCGCACCTGCTTCCCCTTCCTTGCAAGCATCTACAATACGACATTAGAAATTCCAGGAAGCAATACGCTTGTAGTTTGATTGAACAAATAAAATTCGTATTTTGGCCATTCTACCGAGTCTATTCATAATTTGCAAGTCGTGACTTGCTCCACTGCTCGTCATCAGGCCCGCCGGCTCAAGCACTTTGGGCTCCCGGTTCCTGGAACAACGCAGCATAACAATCTTCCCCTCGTAGAAGCCATGTCGCCCCCAGACAGAAAAAAAGGAAAATACGAAACCCGTTTTTCTTTTGCTTGCTTCCCATGGTTCCCGGGTCAAACAACCATCACCCACACTCTGTTGAACTTTTTTCGTTATATAAAATCGACATTTGGTAAAACCGACATCAAGACGCGGCAGAAATGACATCCCAAGATTTTCCTTGAACACCTGGTCCGTTTCAGCGCTTCATACAAAAAAACAGCTCTTTGCTCCCCTCAGCATTCATTAAACCAGCCAGTGACATGTGCTGCCAATGGACTGAGCTGAGCGAAGACATTTATCGGGAGGTCATGGCCTTGGTGACAAGGCGCTTGAGGGTAAGCTCCTGCTTCTTGAGGTCGTCGGCAGAGGAGTCGCCAAGCTCGAGAGCAGCCATAGCATCGCTCATGGCGGCCTCGATCTTCTCCTTCTGGCCACGCTTCATCTTGAGGGACAGAGTCTGGTCAGAGACAATCTCCTCGACGCGGCCAATGTAAGACTCAAGCTGCTGCTTGGCCTCGAAGCGCTTGCTGAAAGCCTCATCGTTGCTCTTGAAAGCCTCGGCATCGCTGACCATCTTCTCAATCTCGGCAGTGGAGAGCTTGCCGACAGAGTTGCTGATGGTGATGTTGGCGCTGCGGCCAGAGGTCTTCTCAGTGGCGGTGACCTTCAGGATACCGTTCACGTCGACCTCGAAGACACACTCAAGAACAGCCTCACCAGCACGCATGGGAGGGATGGGAGCCAGGGTGAATTCACCGAGAGAGGTGTTGTCCTCGCAATTGACACGCTCACCCTGGAAAACGGGGAACTGGACGGTCTGCTGGTTGTCGGCAACAGTAGTGAAGGTCCTGTAATAGAATTATTAGTCTTTTGTAGGGAAATAGTCTATGCAACCTGATAATTACAAACAGTACGACGCTGGCTGTTGTGGAAAAAGTCAAGCAGGTAAGGAAAAATGGATGGCAAACACTCTCCAGCGCTCCTTGTTGCAAATTGTCTTGTGTGGGGAAGAGAGTGTCAAGTAAAGCAACGTGTGTCAGGGGCCATGAGGCGATATGACCACACTTGTGGTCGCCAGCTCAGTTGGGTGAAAATTCAGAATCAAGAGACATGAGAAACAGAGCCAGATTCACCAACAATCACAAGAGTGTGCAGGAAACGAAATCCCAAAAAAATGAAAAGGAAATCCAAGAAACGAAAACAGACAAGTAAATGTCACTAACCTCTTCTTGATGCTGGGCACCGTGGTACCGCGTGGCACCACAGGAGCAAAGATGTTGCCCTCCATAGCGACACCGAGGGAAAGAGGAACGACGTCGAGAAGCAGCAGGTCGGCGGCATCGGACTCAGCAGCCTTGCCAGTCAACAGACCAGCCTGGACGGCGGCACCGTAGGCGACGGCCTCATCAGGGTTGATGCTCTTCTCGAGCTTCTTACCACCGAAGAACTCAGAGAGGAGCTTCTGGATCTTGGGGATACGGGTAGAGCCACCGACAAGGACAATCTCGTCAACCTTGGCCTTGTCGAGGCCAGAGTCCTTGATGACCTGAGCGACAGGCTCAATGGTGCCGGCAAAAGCCTTGGCGTTGAGCTCCTCGAAACGGGCACGGGTGATGGTGGTGGTGAAGTCGGCGCCGTCGAAGAGAGAGTCAATCTCAATGGTGGCCTGAGCGCCGGAGGAGAGGGTACGCTTGGCGCGCTCGCAAGCAGTGCGGAGACGACGGAGAGCACGGGGGTCGTTGCTCAGGTCTTTCTTGGCCTTGCGGAGAAAGTCCTTCTTGCAGTGCTCAAGGAGGTTGGTGTCGAAGTCCTGACCACCAAGATGGGTGTCACCAGCGGTGGCCTTGACGGTGAAGACACCGCCCTGGATGTTCAGGAGAGAGACATCGAAAGTACCACCACCGAGATCGTAGATGAGAACGTTGCGCTCCTTCTCAGACTTGCCAGCACCGAGACCATAAGCAATGGCGGCGGCGGTAGGCTCGTTGATGATACGGAGGACGTTGAGGCCAGCAATGGCACCAGCATCCTTGGTAGCCTGACGCTGGTTGTCGTTGAAGTAGGCGGGGACAGTGATGACGGCCTTCTCAACCTTCTTGCCAAGCTTGGTCTCGGCAATCTCCTTCATCTGTAGTGGGCGTTAGACGGCTGCGGGTGCGAAAGCCGAGGTAATACAGTGAAACGCACCTTAAGGAGAACCATGGCAGAAATCTCCTGGGCGGAGAAGGACTTCTTCTCGCCGAGGTAGTCGACCTCAATCTTGGGGGTACCGTCGTCGTCAAGGACCTTGAAGGGCCAAGACTCAATGTCCTTCTTGACGGTAGGGTCATCGAAGCGGCGACCAATGAGACGCCTGGACAGCATCAGCAACTGCACGATGTAGAGATATAAGCCGCAGGGTTAAAACTCACTTGGCATCGAAGACGGTGTTGCGGGGGTTCATGGCAGCATTGTTCTTAGCAGCCTCACCGATCAGACGCTCCTTCTCGGTGAAGGAGACGAAGGAAGGGGTGGTGAAGGAACCCTGCTCGTTGGCAATGATTTCGACATTGCTGCCCTCGTAGATGGCAACGCAGGAGTAGGTGGTACCTGTGGAACGGCGAAAGAATTAGCATTCAAATTCTGCAACTGTTTTTTGGTCGTGCTCGTCTTTGCAATCGTGCGGTCGCGGTCGGCCCGTGGAAAATCATGCAGGCTGGCCGCCACCGGCGCAGAATTTTTGCGCATCCATTGGCGGCGGCCACAACGCACAAAAAAGAGCGTCCGCATTATTGCAAGCGAGGAGGGGCAATGAGAGAGCATCGTTCGGCACATACCCAGATCGATACCAACGGCACCGTCGTAAACTTCGTCAGCCATTTTGTATTGAGGTGTTTGCAATGCCCGTATGTGAAGTCTTGAAGAGGATGGGAGGATGCAAGAAGAAGAGGAGCCTAGAAGACAAGGACGTGGGGTTACGGTGAAAGAAATTCAACAAGCCCGCCACCAAAATTTTCGTGCAGGCCCAAAGAATAATTTTCGGGGCCCTTTTTTTTTCTCAAGAGAAAAAAAGAGCGGGGCTGTTAAAATAGTTGGCCAGCAACAGAGTGGCGCTAGTCAAATCTAGGAATGGCGCATTCGCCTGAGAATTTCCTCGCACACCTTATCTTATCGATTAATTTTTACGCCAATCTGCAGACAATTGCTCAATTGATTCCTGTGACCTGAATAACTCGCTCTCTTTATTCGCCATCGGTTTTACTTGTGCCATTTTTTACGCTTTATCTGCCTTGAGACCCAGCGCCTTGGCCTGGTCAGCAACCGTCGCCGCAATGGTAGACTTGAGATCGGCCCCTTTGGGCTTCCATCCCAGGTACTTGGCGGCGCGCTGCGGAATCCCCTTGGAGTTTCGACCAAAGCTGGGTGCGGAAGGGCCTGCCACGCTGCCGGCCTCCTTCAAGCTGACCGTCTTTGTCTTTGCCCCGGACAGGTATCCCTTCTTGGCCGCCTCATCCAGAATCCACTGCGCCACCTCGGACCAGCGATGAACCCCGTTCGACGCGAAGAAGTAGCCGTGCAGGCCAAAGATCTCCGGGTTGTTGTTCTTGCTTGGATCCTGGGTAGCATCGAGGAGCTTCAGGAACAAGTCGGCGAGGTCGTCGATGTACACATTGTCCCATTCCGTCTCGCCCTTGCCGATGACCGGTGCGTAGCCTTCCTTGAGGGTGGCCCTGCTCAGAGCAGGCACCTGGATGCTCCGCGTATTGACGGGCCCGGAGCCCTCTCCGTAAATCGTGGGAGGGCATACAATGGCAATCTTGACGGCGTCCGAGATGGTGTCCTGGACCAGGATGTCGACATTCCGGTGGTGGGCGCTGTCGGGCAGCGTCACGAGACGCTCTACGTCGTCAACGTCGCGGTATGTCTGCTCTGGCAGCGGCGGCTCGCCTTCGCGACCATTCTTCTGGTCATACCAAGTCAGGATCGAGGTTCCGCAGAGATGAATCCAAAAGCCGGGGTTTTCTGGAGTGTGGCCTTGTTCGAGACCCATGGCAATGGCCGTCGCGCCAGGAACATTGTCTGAAGAGTCTGCCGTGTCTGCTACCCGTCAGTCCTGGAAATCTTCTGGATCATGCAACGTACGGATTACAACATCGGTTTTGGAAACCGCATCCAGCAACGTCTCGGTGTCTTCCAGCGCGCCATAGACAAAGTTGACGTTGGGGTACTTGGCCTTGATTGGCTTGGCGCGGTCCTCGTTCCTCACGTAGATGGTGTATTCGTAATCCGGGTGCGCTCTGTAGATGTAGTCAAGCACAGTGCCACCAATGTAGCCTGCGGAGAATCAAATGTCAGACTATTGTAATGCCAATAGTGATGGCATCTTGAGGCGCCGGAGCCCCGCCCTACCTGTTGCGCCGGTTCTGGAGCCATTTGTTAGCAGGACGAGTGTAAGAGATGGTGAACGGTCTTTAGTTCATACAGGAAGACTTTAACAGCCATGGTAGCTGCATTCAAGAGACAAGATCCTTTCACTGTGGTCGTTAACTGAGGGGTGAAAAGTGACGCTTTCGATGAGCTACTTCAGAAGGTTATAGGTTCAAGTCATCATTGACGGGTCCAGAGCTTCCCCGCCAGCCTGTGCCCAACTTGGTACTGAGCGAACGAACCCTTCCAGTTATGTACTGTACCTCACACAGTGCACAGGCCCGATAATAATGGCCGTAAATAGTTAGCTCGCGTCGATCTCAGTGTCGGCGCGTAAAGTTAGCCGATTATAATAGATTCAATCGAGCTTTACATACTGAGGAGATACGAGCCTATTTTGATGGGCGTACAGGCATGCATTTCTGCATCTTGTACGAATTATCTTCGCGAATCTTCTTCAGCCGAGCCAGCATGGGTGTCTCATTCACTTGGGCAAGGATTCACAGTGCAGCTCAATTTAACCCCGCCCGCTCATTCTAAATGCTTGCGCCCCCTCCTCCGAGCGCCTTCAGAAATTCACAGCCTCTTTGTGCTGCTCAATCCTCCGCACTGTGATTAAGTTCCTATTCTTCAGATAATACCCACGTCCCATATCCCTCTTCAAAACCCAAACATGTCCAAGGACAGCTCTTCCGGCACCACACCCGAAAGTTCCAGCTCCGGCACCGAGGCCGGTGGCTTCACGTACAAGAGCCACGGCACCAACAGTCAGGTATGATGACGCAGAAACTACCTACAGCCTTGCAACCTCCTCATTAGGCCTGATGACTGACCAGAGCGAACGGATTTACTAGGCAACCACTACTGCGCGCGCGACTACGGTGCGGACGCCACAAACTCCAACACGTATCACTATTCCAACAGGTTGGGAGGACCACATCTAGACGCACATATGGCTGCATTAGCAGTCGCTAACGTACGGTGATAGGGATGGCTCGTACTACTACTCGAACCCCAATGGAAGCACGTATTACAACAACGGCCAGGGAACAGCCACATACACCAGAGCGTCTGGTGAGAAAAGAACCTACAAGACCGACAAGTAAAAGATTATCTGGGATCGTCTCCTAGACACGCCCCTTGATTGGGCAGTGATGACCTATACAAGTGCCACGTTCTGTCATTGGGCGAGCGTGAGATGAACGGCGTGTGAAGGTATCAGTGACATGTTGCATGTTCGGTATAGTCTAGCTATGGTAACTGACTGGTTCTTGTCCGCCATACTTATTCGATAAACTGAAGCTCAACGTAGTTGTCACTGATATCGTCGCCGACCGTGACATTCGCGCTGTACACCTTGGTGCCGATACCACCCGTAGCGCCATAGGCGCCGAAGATGGCTGCGCGTAGACCAACCTTGCCCTTGCGGCCCCAAGTCCAGTCTGGAACCGTCATGTTTCTCGTAAAAGGCGCAGCTGGCATGGTCCCATCTAGAAGTGTCAGCGCGATACGATCAAGAGCGGCCAGTCAGAATGCAACTTACCCTGTAGGTAGATTGATGAGACTGGCGTGCCGATGACAGTGCTGGGGGCTTTTGGGTTGATCCCAAGGCCAAAGGTAATGCTGGTCTGGTAGGTGCTAGACTGGTCAATGTTGTTGACGAGCTTCACTGGGATGCTACGGCCTACGGCAATCGTCTCGGGAACTTGAATGGAGATGATGGAAGCTGCAGCGCCGGAAGCAAAGGCCGAAGCGGCCACAGCAGAAGTAGACTTCATTTTAGCTAGATTGAAGAAGGGGGTTTTAAAGTGAGGAAACGACAGGAAAATTTCAGCCAATATCATTGGCTGCGGGCTACTCTTTATAATTGATGTCTGCAGCCGGGGACGGGTTGCATTAGATGGCGGGTCCATTAAGAGGCAAACTCGTATGAACCTGCGGCCCTTTTCGCAATAGAGAAAAGCTACCCGAGTTTGGAACCAATGAAATTGAGCGTCCATGCAATAAGATGCATTGTGCTACAAAGTCAGCGCTCTACTTGGCAGGTCCTTTCGAAATCATGGCACTAGCATTGGTAATCTCCTGCTTTGGCAGCGCTGGCAATCGGGGAGCCACTCAGCCGCAGCCGGACAGAAAGAGCATCGTGTATGTATGTAGGTCTCCGAGCGGGTGGGGGAAAAAGTCGTTGTTGATACAAAGTGTAAATTGTTGCTACATAAATCTCGGCCAACATTCGCCAAATCAAACCCAGAGTCGCCTGCCTCGTGTCAGATCCTATACAACATTGGTACAAGTTTCTTGCCCTTGGGAAGAAACGAATCTCCGCACGTGGTTTACTGTTCGACAGAAAAGTAAACGGCCAAAATAATGACCAGACACATGTATGCGGCGAGCTCCGCAAACAGCACGCGCTTCAGAACCGTCCTCTGCCGGACGGTAAAGTGCCCTATCTCGCCATGCGTGCACCAGCTTGTGGTCGAGTTGAACGCGCCGTAGAGGGCAATGAGACCAGCCACGGGAAAAACCACGCTCAACAGCACTACCGAGACAAATACCGCCGACAGGCGCTTCTCACAGTCTTGGGCGTAGCGTCTTCGAAATAGAATGTCGGCCCGCGCAGACTCCATGAGGCGCGTTTCCGATGCGGAAAAGAGGGACTGTTTGAGCTGCGGCGGGCTGTCTTTCGCTCTGCGCTCTCTGGTCGAGGCTGAGAATCCACGCAGTCGCAGCAGTTTCGGGGCAACTTGCCGAAACTCCTCGTCGGCCGAATCCCAGTACGAGGAACGCGGGTCGGGGATCTTGAGGACCTGAGACCGCCGCTGACCACCGAGGAGCAGCAACGAGGAGATGCGTTCGATGGACTCGTTTGACAGACCTAATGAATTGTTAGCTTCTTCAATGGTACAGAGAATGGGGTCGCACCCACCATAGCTGCGTGGAGAGCCCCAGAGGGAGTATGTAGGACTCGGCTTTTCGAGCCGGTCGCGGCTACTGCCCATTTGGCTATGAGGAAAGAGAACAGAGCGAGGTGTGCGAGGACTGTTGGTGGATGAAACTGTACTGCGCTTTTCAGAATGTGCCCTGGTTACGAACGATATTGCTGGGTCGGTGTGATCTTCTTCACCGCGCTGAATACGAATCTTTTGGAGTTTTGCAGCCTCAGGTAGGCTGATGAGCGGGAATGGGAGACGCGGGATACCGACGCTGCCGTTGGCAATGTCCGTGGGAGGATCCTCTGTAAAAAGTACTCTCTGGGGATCTCTTGACTCAAATCCCTGCCAGTGGTTGGCACTCCCAAAGAATTCCGAAGACGCAGTCGAATCCAAGCTGTCGAAGCTGCCGTTGAACTGTCTCATCTCGAACGCCTGGGCACCGCGCTCTCGAGACGTGGTAATACCATCGAGAGAGCTGGAAACGCGGCGCATTGCCGCCTGTAGTCGACTTTGCGTCGACTTTCGCGCACCGGGTTTTTGACCAGTGGCATACCCAGGCCCAGCAGTAAACGACACCGGAGGGTGGCGACTTGAACCGCAATAGTCATAGCTGACGGTGTCGGACACATCGGCAATGCTGCTGCCATTCCCCACGTGCGTCTGGAGCTGGTGTGATCTTTGCCGGGAGAAGAGATGATCCGTCGATACAGTTTCCCAGTCACCCTCATGGGCGTTTGGGGGACCCTCCCGAAGTCGTAACCCAGGCTTTGCTGGAGAGGGCTCGACTGTGGGAGGGCGGTGAGTTGGAGACGGTGTGGTCGATTGAATGGGGACTTTGACACAGTTGTCGACTTTCTAAGCCGATGCAACTGCATCTGCGTTGTAGAACGACCGAGCATGATGCTCCTGAATATCCCTGAGGTGTCCCGTAGAAGGACCGGTGAAACTGACGCGGCGTCGATACCCAGATGCCGCCTCCAATGTGAGCAGTGCGCGGCTCACATCTCGCTCCGCGGACGGGCTGAGGAATAGCGAGCGACAGGTACTGGTCTCTGACCCATGCGCACCAATGGTGGATGCTTTCGAGTATGAAGAGGTCAAATTCCCGCGTGAGTCTCTGTCTAGCAATGTTGTTGCGGGCCGCACGTGTTGCCCATAATGGTGAGTGGGTGAGGAGTTCCCATGGTTCAGTTCATCAAAGCTACCATGGCTCGCGTCGCTATAGGTGCTCAACATCGAGCGGAAGGAACTGTCTCGTGTAAGCTTTGCCTGCCCCGAGTATGGCTCGAGAAGAAGCCCCGAGGAGCCAGAGCTTGGCATTGTGTTTCGCCTCTGTGGAGTGGGACGGAGAGCGTGTTCTTGATTTGAGCTTCTCGTCGGAGACAGCACCAGAGTGATTGTTCGTTGGTTATTGAAGCGAGTTCGGGGAGTTGTAGGCATGGTGTTTGTGTTTTTGGGAAGCGAATAACATTCATCGTAGTCGACTTCAGTTTCCCAGCCGGAGCTGGAGCCTTTTATATTCATCCTTGATCAATTGGTGCGGTCTGAATCACCCCAGGGGAGGTTGAACAAGGCGGGTCAATGTTGGACAAAGTCTCCCAGTTCCTGATTTTTCGATGTTGTGTATTGTAGTGTCACTTGAAGCTGTGGTGGGTAGTCCAGAAAAGGATTGACCGACTGATAAAAGTCAACGATTGAGAATGTAGTTTCAGCGAGGCCGCAGCGTTGTCGTTCCAGCAGACTTGACTATGTCCAACGATGATGACACTGAGACGCGGGGCGCGTCCCAATAACAAACACGAAAAAAGTGCGTTTTCGTTGATGAGTTGGCGGCCGGCAAACCCTCATCATTGTTGATCCGATCCAAGTTGCGGCGACAAGCGAGTTCTAACGGGGCTGGCAGCTGGCAGTTGGCAACGTGACGCGGCACGGACGGGCCTTGCAAACCGACTAGGTTCCTGTGAATCTGTCTGGGCTAATTGCTAAATTAACACACATGTAATACGAAAAGGTTGTCACAGCTGGCTTCATGGGTTTGCTACTGCAAGTGTAACCAACAAGTCAGCAGAAACGCCGAGATCGTCAATTGGGCCTGGTGTGCCATCCCTGTGCAACGCCAACTCGCTTCCCGCCTCGCTTTTTACCAATCACCACAAGCCGTTTGAACCCGTTGAAACATCCGAACCCGTTGAGCAGCGCTGACGTTGCGGAAAAATACGAGAAGCCGAAACGAGCACACATGCACCAGCATACCCAAGCCATGTTAGACCGGGCAAGGCCGCCTGGTGAGGCTGCGAGGAGGCCAAGTGGCGTCAAGTTGCGCAGGCGACGGCGACGACTCTTTGCATGGCTGGGCCTCAGTTGTGTTGATTGCGCCCTGAGGCATTCGATGATGCCTGTTCCTGTGTATCCGCTCCTTTTTTGTCAGCCTAGTTGCGATTTTGGAATAGCGGGATAGTCTCGGCCCAGAATCTTACTGTCAATGTTCGGCGACCCGACGAACTGTACGTAGGCCTCCTGGGCTGGGGTTGGCGGCACGGGCGGCTTGGCTGCTACCTACATACTTGGCCACATCTACCAGGTTACCTGTGTGTATGTAAATAGATTTACCTAGGTAGGTACCTATATGCATGCAAGTCGGGCTTCCATATAGTCCGTCAGCTCGTTACAATTAGAGTGCTACATGCCAGCACCACAGCGGGTACCTGACACCCCCCCGCCAAAGCGGCGGACGCAGGTGCTCTTTTGAGGCACGTTATCCTTTCATTCTCCCTCTTCACAAACTCGCCTGCCAATCGGGCCCAATTCAACAATTGCACGCTGAACGCGGGCAAAATGCGAAATGGGCCGCGAGGACAGGCCACACACAGCTGGGATGAGCTGCCGGACGAGATCTTATTGCAGATCATTGCCTGTAGGTCCCCCGCTTCAGCCTCGTTGGCGTAACCGGGAAGAATACAGGTGCGACGAAAGATGCTGATGTCAGGAAAACGCATACAGACCTTGAGCCATATCACATTACACGCCTGCAGCTAGTTTCGCGCAAATTGCAGGAGCTTTGCCTGGATGACGAGCTGTGGAAGCAGCATTGCTTCGACGACTCGCCGTGGTATCTTCAGCTCCTGAGCAGACGCGGCTCTGCTCCCACTTTCTTCGGCCTCGCCACTGACGGCTACGGCGTGCAAGACGGGGCGCACGACGTGCAAGATGTTGTATCCCCGACCGAAAGTCCAGATCGAGTCGTCCTACCGCCCGTACCGACGACGGTCGATAGCAAACACCGCAGATGGCAGCGGATACAAGACCTGGCGAACTGGGACCCGTCCTTCCCAACCGAACGAGTATCGTGGTGCGATGAATACATTCAGCGCTATGCACCAGCCTGTATATCATGGCTGCAAACGCCGCGTATGCGAGACCGTGGAATGGAGGCAATAATCGAATCGCGTGGCGTCGCTTTGTACCATCCGCACGACGGCAACGATGGAGATGGGACAATGCTGGCTGTATCTCCACTCGATGATGGATCTGTCTGCCTCTGGGATATTAAGGGCACGCGAGGTAAACAGGGAAGCATAATTGGGCGTAGTAAGCCGGACATACTTTTCATCGACGGGCCAAGCGGCCAGAACCAGCGACGGTCGAAGCGAATTGACACGGGGGTGACCGAGTGTGTTAGCGTCGGCCACCGAAACAATAGAGCCTTCTTTGCCGTCCAGAGTCGTGAGTGCTTTTGCTAGCTTGCAATCAATGTATCTTACTGAACGAAGGATAGATCTTATCGAGGTCGACCTGCACTGCCTCGAAGTTGTAAGCCGCCAATCGTTTGAATGGTCAATTACAACCATGTCTGCTGCCAACGAGGGCCTGCCTCTCACCGTCGGGACGTCCCTCGGCATTCATTTGCATGATTCTCGGGCGCGGAGTATGATCGCGAGCGATTCATCCGAGCGAATTGAATGGAACGGGTCGGATGTCTACAAATCTATTTTCGATCCTAGGCCGCTCCCTCCATATGCGTCGCTGTCGCAGCCAACGCCGATCAGCATTCTGCATCTTCCAAAACCCGGCTCGCACAGTCAGATTTCAGATGATATCTATGTTTCTGGAAGGTTCACCAACATTTTACACTATGATCGGCGCAAGTTTCCAGCCATTGTCGGGTCAATATATTCGGGCGGCTTGATCAAGAGTTTGGCTGCTGTACCATATCCATATTCGACGGTCGACTATGAAGTCCGGCGGCAAGGCGAGTTTCCCGTGGAGCAAATATCGCGAATTAAAAGGACCAACGGCGGTGTTACCATGGTTGCTGGCGGCGCGTACAAGCTGAAAGGATCCCTTGAGATGTACGGGTTGAGCTCGGCTGTCCATTCAAACGAACGGGCAACATTGCAAAATGCATCAATGAAGAATCGGCAAACGGCTGCCTCGTCGACGATCCTCTCGCTCACGACGCACGGAACCAGGATTGCCTTTTCAGATGGTAGCGGGCTGATCAAGTGGTTTGAGAGAGATGGCGTTACGGAATGCCGGCGACATAAAATCGGATCGTGCGACGCCAAGGAAAATAATCTCTTTGCCAGCAGTGAACGGGGCGAGATTGCGCGCAAGATTGTGTCGACAAAGTCGTGTGCGGGTCAGGATGGACTGAATAACAAGAACAACAACATACTATTTTGGACGGGCGAGAGGCTTGGGATGCTGAGCTTCACGACAGCGCCAATGTACCAATCTGAGGACTTTGAAGAAAAGAACGAAGAGGCGGCAGTGGAGGACGAGAAGCGGCAGCGGTATGCTGACAAGATGCGTGAGGCACTCGAGAGACAGACGGATGAGATACGACTCATGAGTCGCTTCGGCCACGGCCCAGCATAATGATGGTGGCCAAGACCCAAAGTGATAGCCGGGCAGAATATGGCCCGGACAAGGCATGCCACGTATATAATGACGAAAATAGCTGAGACGACGCATGAATACGAATTAAATGATTGATCCTATGGAATTAGAGGTCCAGAAACGTATTTCGCTCATGGTTGTTGCGTAGCGCCACTGATGCCCAAGGATGATTAGGCTCAGCTTGGGCTCGTGGGTGCTGTGGTTCATCATCACGATGGTAGCCTATCGCTCGGGAACATGATGCTGCAAGGAGTCACGATGGCGGGAGCCAAGACGAAAAAGAGGTTTGCGGAAGGGGAACAGGGAAGATAGAGTCGTCGGTTTACAGGGCAGGGCTCCGATTCGGCGATTGGAAAAAGCAAAATAGCAAATTTGCCATCAACGAGAACGGGCGGCGAGGGCGGACCGCTTCCGAGCTCACCCTACCAGGCTGGGGCGGCTGCTGCAGGAATGGCCCAAGGGCGCCCAACGTGTCAGTCAGTCAGTCAGTCAGTCAGTGTGAGATACTACCCAGGTAGGTAGGTAGCTATTCGGCTGGTAATGCCAGTAAGGATACCTAGGTAAGGATTTGTTTCTAGTACATAAATAAGGTAATGGCTCTTGACTGATAAATGACCGGGGGCAGTGCTGGGGTCTTGTCACGGCGATCCAAAACATTTTTTTTTCCCTCGGAGTCCTTCCTCTTCGACGTCAGATTCCGTTGTATGAACATATTTCCTCTTTCCGCGCGACAGTACGGATACAAATACACCATCATCTGCCCATCCCGCCCCCCGCATCGCCGGATCTGGTGTGACAGACCAGATCAATTTATCTGGTCGTCGTTTGCCGCCGTCCCATCGCCGCCCTCACATCACCTGCTCCAACCTTTGTCACACCACACCGCTCGCCCGATCCAGCCAGCGGGCGCATCTCCTGCTACACTCCTTCACCATCCCGCGCGCTTGCCGTCGCCAACCTCGCTCTTTTCCGCTTTCCCTAGACCGCTCCAATTTCCTTGATTTTTCTACTTTTTCCCCTTCATTTTCATTTTCTTGTCCCCTACATACCTCTCTCGGCCATCAACGCTGGAGCCTGCACCATGTCCTTCTGGGTTCTTGGTGCTGGCGCCGGTGGTCCGCCTGACGAGAGCCACACCTGGCATCCACATCATCACCATCACCAAGACAGTCACCATCACCAAGACAGTCACAATCACCAAGACAGTCACAATCACTCGTACAACTACAGGGGCAAGGCGTTCCAGTCGCCGCCCTTTGACCAGGATCAGATCTACCACCACCAGCACGCAAACAGATATAGCTTCGACGCCCATCATCGGCACTCCTACACTCACGCCGACTACACCCCAAAACAAGCCGCACCCTCCATCCACATCAAGAATCTCGCCTTCCTTGTCATTCGTGAGGAACACCCCGATAGCCCGCCGCCGGAGACATGCGACGCGCGCTCGGGGCCCCCCAACGATGGCAGCCTCACCAAGGCGCTCCCGCCACAGCCGCCCCCGCCGTTGGAGCGCACCGAGTCTGGGCTTCCCATCGCGGACTCACCTGCGCATGAGGACGACGACGACGAGGACAGCGATCATGGCGGGTGTCTCCTCGACGACCTAGCCGCCGCCCAACTCGTGCGCGACCACGTCGCCAGCTTCCAGCGGCGCTGCCCGGACTCGCAATCCGGACGCATCCTCCGCGCGCTCATCAAACCCAAGAACGAACGCCCACGGCCCTCGTCCCGGAGCCGACGACCGCAGGACGCGGGGGTGCCAGAGGCGGCGTCGGCGTCGTTCCCCCTCGACAACGACGCCCTGCGCAGCGTCTTCTCCGCCGCCAACGAGCTCTTCTTCGCTAACCGGCTCGCGCGGCGCGTCGCCTGGGACTGGAGCCACCCGGGCAGCGCGCAGTACCAGAGCGCCGTGGTCGGCACCACGGCGCTGCGCCGCTGCGCGCACCTCGGCGGCTGGGAGACGCTCATCGTGCTGTCCTCGCCGGTGCTGCGCGACACGCGCTACAACCGCCGTCTGCTGCTGTCCACGTTCCTGCACGAGATGATCCACAGCTTCCTGTTCGTGACCTGCGGCCGCAAGGCGGGCCGGCAGGGCGGCCACACGGAGGGGTTCCGCCAGATCGCCGAGGTCATCGATGCGTGGGTCGGGAGGGAGCACCTGCGGCTGAGCGACATGCAGGCCGACTTGCAGTACTTTGAGGACGGCACACCCGTTCCGGCGACGCCGTGCATGGGGTACCACCAGATGATGGGGGATGGCGGCGGCGGGGGACAGGAGCAGGCGGCGGCGCCGAGGGCGGTTCCGGCATGGCAGCTGGACAATGAACGGAACGTGTGGCCGCATAATACCGGCGGCGGCGGTGGTGGTGGCGGCGATGCCACGGGGCATGGCATGTACTTGAATGAACCCGTGTTGCCGCCGCCGCCCCAGTTTCGACACCCGAATGACGGCGCGTGGCAGTGGTACGAGAGGGAGGGCTTCGAGTCCCGTGACGGACCGGTCCTCGGCATGCATTATTAGGATTTTCTTTTGGCTATTCTCCCTTTTACTTGGTTATGTCGCATTTTGTACACTTGGGTGGAAAGCGAGCATTGCTATGGCGTTTTTGGAAAATTTGCTAAACTCTTCTTGATCCAAATTCTTTCTTCATCCAACAAAGGAACGAATATACGTGATAATGATGACGCTTTCATGCGTTGCATAGCCTATGGGGGTTAAGAGCTGAGTGACGAGTGAAACAGCTAGAATTATTGCTATGCATCGTCATTCGCGTAGGACCCCCGGGTTGTGGCTCGGTTTTCCAAATGCTGCCCTCGTAGGAGCAATCAACGCCTAATGATTCTGGTAGAAGTAGTACAAATTTGAAGAAAGCAACCAAGCCACCTGTGGTCTAGACGAATGCAAGCCACAGTCCAATCTTTCCTCTGCTGGCGGGTAAGGCAGGGCGCGGCCACCCTCATCTGGGTGTCACTTCCCGGCCATAATGCGGTACTCTGTGCTATCGCTTCACCGGCGCGCCATCAGCGGCCGCCTCTCATCGTCGCACCTTGGGCTACCACTCCCCTCCCCTCCCTCGGCCGCCGCCTCCACCTCCGCCCGCTCCTCCGCCGCAGTGGGGCCGTCGCCCTCGACGATCAGAAACCCAGGGATGGCACCGAGGGCGGCGGCGGCGCCGAGAAAGAAGTAGGCGCTGATTATGTAGCCATGGTGGGCGCCCCATGTGAAGACGCGGCCGGTGGATGCCGGCCCGACGGCACGGAAGATGCCGCTCATCATGGTGGCGAGGCCGTTGACGGAGCTGAGGACGCGCAGCGACCGGCACGAGTTGTTGAAAAGGATTGTGGTGGAGGGGAAGGACATGATGAGGCAGAACGCCTTGAGGAGCATGACGACAACGATGGCAGCGAAGCGGACGCGCGCGCTGGTGAAGAGCGAGGCGTACGGCGTGGCGCAGTATACGATGGGCAGGAAGATGGCTGGAGAGAAGGGGATGGTCAGCGGGCGGTACTCTAGCATAATCTATTAAGGGAGGGTGCAAATGGGAAAGACGTACAGCAAACGTGAAAAGTGCACAAGACGCCAAAGCGAGTGACCAGGACCGGATACACGATGAACTGGATCGCAGCGCTGGTGATGCCGTAGATGACGAAGATGGTCCCGATGGTGCCCGGGTCGAGGCCAAAGCCGCCGTTAAAGTAGAATGGCGGCCGGTAGTTGTCCGGGGTGCGTGGGATGACGGGTGTACTGAGGAAGACGCTGATGTTCTGGTCGAACGAGACCGAGTGAAAAAAGAGGAACGAGTAAGAGAAGAGCGCAAGCATTGTCTGGTAAGTCAAGACCTCGGCCCAGGCTGCCTGCGTATTGGCACCGGCGGCGGTATTCGTCGCAGGCCTAGACGCAGGTGTCATGACATCGCCGCCATCATAGGTTGAGGGACCTTCTCCGCCGCCGTTCCGTCCGATCTGGGCCCGCCTGCGCGAAAACACGCGCGTGAGGCGCTGACCGACCTGGAGGCCCCAGTCGTCACGATCGCGCTTTGTCACGAGGGTTTCCTGTCGAGATTTTGGTGAGTTGACAATCTAAGCAATGAGGCGGCCTGACGTACCTTGAGGAAAAACGTGACGCTGAATGTGGAGATTAGGAAGAAGATGCTAGCGAGAAGGTTGGGTAGGGCGTAGGGAAAGGTGATGAAGAAGGGGATGCGGCCAAAGAGGTCCGGGAAGCGCTTGGCGGGCTCGGCGAAGAAGCCGCCAAAGGCCGGGCCAATGACAGAGCCGAGGGACCAGACAATTGGCATGATGGAGAAGGCGCGAGGCTGGAGCTTCTTTTCAGGGACGAATTCTGCGACCATAGTGCCAATGATGCCCCCGGCTCCTGGGTGTGTTGTGCACTTACTATTTCCATTGCTACCGCCTTGAATGATGCGGACGGTTATGGCCATGGCTAGGCTCTTGGACAGACTCCAAACGACGAAGCACGTCATGGTGCTGAGCAGACCGATGATGAGGATGGGCTTACGGCCGTAGCGGTCTGCAGCGCCGCTCCAGGGCACGGCGGCGAGGCTCTGGGCTAGGGAGAAGGCGCCGGAGATGAGGCCCGCCCAGCTGGCGATGTCGTTCTCGGCGACGCCGAAGCTGCGAATCATGTCTGGGACGTAGGGGTATATCGAGGTGTAGGCGATGGGCTCTGAAAATCGGGCAATGGCTGTCGAGGAGGAGGCTTGTTAGCGTACGGTGATTCATGGTGCGGCAAGATACGGGGGCGTTGGTTATGATGGGGCGGTATTTTGATCAGCTCTGGAGGATAATAATGGTTTCAAGGAGGAAAGGTGGGAGTTGCTGAGATGAAGCTGTCTGCCTTTCTTCAGGCATGGTATCCTGGGGACAGGCCGGCAAACAACGGAGAGCAAAGCTTTTGCGTACCGAGAATCGCAAGCTGCTGGATAGGCAGCTTGGGCTCAGAGTCTCCATCTTTGGACATGGTTACTGCAGGCATTCGAGGACAGAAATGGATGCATTGGCCAACGGTAACGATTTTCCGGTGGTCGTCGAGGCGGAATCGACGGCGGAAGCGCAGGGGAGGAATGGGGATGCGGTGGGCGACTTTCACAGTATATCCATACGGCGACGCGGAAATACCATTCAAGGCAAGAAGCATGAAGAGAAAAGGGCGAATCTGGGAGGCAAGAGGAAGAAGTACGGATAAGAGATGGTACACAAGGCAGATTGGGGCGAGATAGACCTTGGAAAGTCGGGATCGGGGAGGATGCAGAAGGGCCTCGTGCATCGATACTGGCACAGCATGGGTGGGACAAATCGCGGGCCGAAAGGCCATAGAACTATCGATTATCTGTACTTATTGGTTTATTTTCCTAATATATTGGTATCAACAGCGCCGCCAGCTTGGATCCTCATAGCGAATGGGCGGCTGGCTCTCGCCACGCTGCTGCTCCGAGACAAAAGTGGCTTACCCGTCGCCACCGATGACGGAGATCCTATCAGAACAAAAAGGGGAGGTGGGGGGTGATGAATTATGCCACCTTCTTTTGGGCCATGCACTTGTACCAGAGAAGGACATCGAGAGATTGTTACCAGGGAGAGACATCGAGATTGAGGTTCAGCCACCATCGCGGCTCCGGGAAAAGCAAACATTGGCAGCTTACCAGGCCACTGAAGTGACACGGAGACGGGTTGGTGCTCCTTGGGAGCTGCGGTGATGGCTTGCACTAAGTCACAATTTGAGGATGACTTGGGGACTTGTCTGTAGCCTTGGGTGCTTCGCAACCGGGAGATGGGAGTTGGGTTGGTGAATTAATCAACTGGAATGACCGCGCCGCGCTGTGTATCGGATGCAGAGGGCACGGATAGCTGTCAGCCAGCCTCAGGTGTGACCCCATGGACATGCCTCGCATCGTCAGCTGTTGTGCACAGTCCCTCGCCGTTAAAAGAGCATGCTGGTAACCCAGGTTACACGGATCAGGGAGGTTGGCTGGTTCTGGCAGCGCAGCGAATGTGCTACCCTCCGTCTGCCCATAAAACTACTCTTGAGGGGCTAGATATTCAGTCAAGCGGACAGCTCTACCCAGGGAGCTGCTGTTGGGTATCAGCAGCGGTTCTATGGTTTGTCGTCGTTTTGGACTCTCCCCCGTGTGTATTCCAACAACTGCATCTGCGATGGAATAGTAAGAACAAAAAACGCATAGATTGCATAGCCTCGTACATTTTATCTGAACGTCCTTGTCTTGGCTGATGTAGCCTTTTGTTAACTTGCACGTTGAAGATTCGTAGCTTGTGGCTACGAATCCGGCAGGCTCCCGCTCCGGGCCGGACTTGACGCGGACGCGGAATGCCGCCGCGGGGTAACTTAGTTAGTAATTCGTAACTTAGTGCGGATATTATTCGCAGTATGGAGGGAGAATGGCCTGGATGTCCGCATTGTAGATTGCACAAGTACCATTGCCATACAAAAAAGCTGTGCGAGGAACCCACCCGCCTCTCCGCTCGGGAGCCGTACCCTGACGTCCTGGTTCCCGGCTCCAGTGTCTGTCTGGTATGATTGCGACATGGATTCCTTGCAGAAATGCCCTGCTTCTGACGTGCTGAGGAAGCTGGTTCTCGATTTGAAAGAGGGGAGGACAGCATGTGTAACTAGCTATTTCGTCTTCTTTCAATGTTCCACATCTCTCTAAGCTTTTCATCATCTTCTGTTGATTGAACTGGCTTGATCATGAAATCGTAAGTACATCTACATACTTTTATATATTTCAACCCTGTTTTCCATCAATTACTCTTCGGCCTTTTGGAAACTCCGCTTCTGGCCGGCGCTGCACTGAGGGTGCACCACCCGAATCCGCCCTGGCCACGCGGCTCTCGCCTCGAGACCAACGCCAACACCAAGGCACTCTTGCGCCAGAACATTCCCTCCCACCAAACACACACACGCACACTCATCCACGCCAGAGCGCAAACGCAGCCTTCAAAGGGGCAGCACCGCTCCCCTTTCTCGTCACTCTTCTTCTCCTCTTCCTTTTCCTCGAATCCTGCCATTAACTTGCGCAAGGTTCTTGTTCCCCTTTCGGTCCGCCGCGGCATCACCACCGCCGCCGCCCGAGAAAATGGCCGCTACCGTCCACCACCACCACCATCATCACCACAGCGAGTCGACGCCCCTCATCAACGCCTCCCGTGCCGCCGCCCTCGCCGAGCAGCGTCGCCGCCGTGAGAACAGCACCTGTCGCCGCTTCTTCCTCATCGCCGTCTCCTGCATCGCCCTCTGGGGCCTCTTCTCCTTCTTCTTCCAGGCATTTTTCGTCTGGCCCTACCACTACCACCGCTCCCACAGCGGTCGCCACTCGGCCACCGATCGCGACTCCGGCCGTGGTACCCTGACCTTCGAGCAGCTCCAGGCCATCCTGCTCGACACCCCCGACGCCGACAAGGCCCGCGAATGGAGCCGCTACTATACCGCCGGCGCCCACCTTGCCGGCAAGAACTTTTCCCAGGTGCGTCGCCACGCGCAGGCATCGTCATGCCTCATCTGCGCTCCATGATCAAAAACAAGTAGCTAACATCACTTCCGACGATAGGCCGAATGGACGCGACAAAAGTGGGAGTCTTGGGGCGTCCCCGCTAGCATCGCTACCTACGACGTCTTCATCAACTACCCCGTCGACCACAGCCTGTCCCTGCTGGAAAAGGCCAAGGGCCACTCCAGCTCCTGGGACGTCTCCTTCCGCGCCTCCCTCACTGAGGACGTGCTCGATGAAGATCCCACCAGCGGCTCCCCCGACAGCATCCCGACCTTCCACGGCTACTCGGCCAGCGGCAACGTCACGGGCCAGTTCGTCTACGTTAACTACGGCACCTACGCCGACTACGAGGACCTGGTCGGCGCGGGCATCGATCTCACCGGCAAGATCGCAATTGCCAAGTACGGCGGCATCTTCCGTGGGCTAAAGATCAAGCGCGCGCAGGAGCTCGGCATGGTCGGCGTGCTCATCTATAGCGACCCGGGCGACGACGGCGAGCGCACCGAGCAGAATGGCTATGCCGCCTACCCTGACGGGCCTGCGCGTCAGCCAAGCAGCGTCCAGCGCGGCAGCGTCCAGTTCCTCAGCACCCGGCCCGGCGACCCGACCACGCCGGGGTACCCATCCAAGCCGGACTCCCCGCGCGCGCCCCCGGGTGACGCCATCCCCAGCATCCCCTCGCTCCCCATCTCCTATGCCGACGCGCTGCCGCTGCTGCGCGCGCTCAACGGCCACGGGCCCAAGGCCAGCGACTTTGGCAGCCCGTGGACGCGCAACCTCGGCCTCGCCCACAAGGGTGTCGAATACCATGTCGGCCCGTCCCCGGCCCACCTCGCCATCAACCTGCACAACGAGCAGGAATACGTCACCACACCGCAGTGGGACGTCATTGGCATTGTCAACGGCACGGTACCCAATGAGGTCATCGTCGTTGGTAACCACCGCGATGCATGGATCGTCGGCGGCGCGGGCGACCCCAACAGCGGCTCCGCCGTCCTCAACGAGGTCGTCCGCGGCGTCGGCGTCGCGCTCGCGGCCGGCTGGCAGCCGCACCGCACCATCGTCTTCGCGTCCTGGGACGGCGAGGAGTACGGGCTGATCGGCAGCACCGAGTGGGTGGAGGAGTACCTGCCTTGGATCGACGACGCGAACGTGGCCTATGTCAACGTCGACGTGGGCGCGGCGGGCCCCATCTTCCAGGCCTCGGCCGCGCCGCTGCTCAACCAGGTGCTGCGCGACGCGGCGACGCTGGTGCCGTCGGCGAACCAGAGTGTGGCGGGCCAGACGGTGGCCGACGTGTGGGACGGCCACATCAGCACCATGGGCAGCGGCAGCGACTTCACCGCGTTCCAGGACTACGCGGGCGTGCCGTGCATCGACATGGGCTTCAAGGCCGGGCCCGTGTCGCCCGTCTACCACTACCACTCCAACTACGACAGCTTCTGGTGGATGGACACATACGGCGACCCGGGCTTCCGCTACCACCGCAGCATGGCCCAGCTGCTCGGCGTGCTCCTGGCCGAGCTCGTCGACAGCCTCGTCATCCCCTTCCAGGCCGCCGAGTACGTCGACGCCCTCGGCAGCTACCTCGACCAGGTGGAGAGCAAGCTGCGCCGGTACGACAGTGGTGGTGACGATGGGGATCACGGCCACGAGGACTACGCCAGCATCGAGAGCATGGATGACGAGACGCTGTTCCTCGAGCGCGGTCGCGTCGGCGGCGGCGGTGATGACATGGCGAGGGGCAACGCGGACGCCTTCTGGACCAGTCTCAAGGACATGCGGCTGTCGCTGGCGCGCTTCCGCATCGTCGCGGGCGAGCTGGACGAGCAGGCGGAGCGCGCGCGCGAGGCGCTCGACCGCGGCCTGCCGTGGTGGAACGTTGTCGGCAAGATCCGCCTGGGCGTCACCGTGCTCGTTGTCAACTACAAGTACAAGGGGCTGGAGCGGCACTTTTTGTTCGAGGGCGGCCTGGACGGCCGCAGCTGGTTTAAGCACGTCGTCTTTGCGCCTGGTCTGTGGACCGGGTATGCCGGTGGTGAGTTTTTTCTTTTTCGGTCTGCAACCTTTCCTGCACCTTTTGCTAACAAGAAGGGTGAATAGCGGTGTATCCCGGCCTGATGGAGAGCATTGATGCCAAGGACTACAGCAATGGGTTGAAGTGGTCTGGCATCATCAACAAGTGCATTCGCAGAGCGACGAAGAGCCTGCAGTAGGCGTGCAAGCGGAGGGCGTGATTTGGTAGTACATGATGTTATGAAATGTGCGAGAAACATTTGGACCTCAAGGGAGTCTTCTTTGCGCAAGTACTCAGAGTTTCTGCAGGTTTTATGAGCCGGTACATTGTATTGTCACGCTGGTTGAAAACAAGCCATGCTTAGTGCAGTGTCGATGAGCTCGACGCCTATACACCACAACTTAATACAAGCCCAAGATAAATAGGGATCTCGTTGGCAGTAACAAGTATTTGTTTCCCTGTCGAATATCTTGCCTCTCTTCGGCTTTTTATCTCTTCAAGATGTTTCACCTCTTTTGGTATCTTGCCCCCCCTCCTTGAGGTGAGATATACAGAACCTTGATGATAGCCGTGTGTGTAGCCGGTGGGCCGGAGAGTCTACATCAGTGGCGCGCTGTTTGCTCCCTGTACCAGTGTGATTTTGGAAAAAAAAAGAAGAGGGCTTTGGATAATACAATGTTGCAGCAACGAGGCACAAGCGTGAAGATCGTCGGACAAGGGGAGGGGGCGTGTGATACATTTGGTAGCTCAGCTAGACCCCCACAACTTCCAACAGCCGCATGTCTCTCGGAGGGGGGACGAAAAGGACGGAGCAACCAGGGGCGAGTTATTATTTGCTTGCTTTTCTTGTCGCAAACGGCTCAGCCGGGGATGCAGGCTCGGCTACGTCCTAATATCTACCCACAATGCCGTAAACTACTCACCCAAGTCTGAGCGACCAAAAATGTGCTCTGGAAGTCAAGCGCTTGTTCCTTGGTGCAAGAATAAGGCATAGAAAGTACCTGCCACGTGGTAATCGTGGTACTTTGTCGAGGTGACATGATATGACAGGAATGAAATTATAACACACTATCCGTGGTAAGTCATACGAACAGCGGCTGCGGACGGTGTACAAACAGAAGCTGTGGGAGTATTCGTACGTACAGTAGTAATTCGTACTGCAATAGCAAATACATATATACTTGCATCGGGTTTCGCATGCTCCTATTATGCTTTGCTGAGTCGAGGGTGCATCATTCCGTGCGTCAAGCCACCTGATCAATCCCTTTCTTGGATGACTGGCTGATCGCAACCCATCATCATCATCATCATCATCATCATCATGATAGAATTACCGGTATATTATTGGCATGAAAAGTCATCTCGTGAGTTGGTGAGATGTGACGATGCGGTATGCGGCATGCTGCGTACCTCTGCATGTTGCATACGTTTGCATGCTGCATCGGGTGGAAGGTGCGAATCCACCTCCCCTCAGCCGCAAAGCACCTGCCGGCAAGTAAGTACATACATACATGTCGCGCGGCCGACTTTCTTACTCCATACTATGCATTTCGGAAAAAGTGCATTTGCGGTTGAGGGGCATACGTCGTGCATTGCCAACTAGGTTACTAGACTTGCCCGTGGCCTAATGCGTCGCGATGCAGGTGATGGTTTAGTTAGGTCCATAGGTAGTTAGTAACTTGGAGTAGCGTATTTGCGGCTGCCGGGGGCCCCAGCCAAGTTCGGTAAGGGGGGGGATTATTTATTGTCCTGTCGTCCCGAGAAGGTGCCAAACTTGCGGCCCCCACAGGCCGCCACCCTTGCGCTGGAAACATTTGACCATTTATTTGACTGGCAATCTTTGACACCCCTCAACAACGGGCGGTCGCCTCTCGCTCAATGGCGTCTTCTGTGGCTGAAATGGGTGGGAAAGAGCTCCGGGTGGCTATTGGCACGGAAAGTCACATGTGTTGTTGGAAATTCGAGACATTTTAGAGTAAAGGACGGCTCCATGGAGCTTGATTCTGGTGTTTCGTAGCTCCTTTGTAGTTCTTTACCTTGAGTTGGTGATGGCTTCGAAAACGGGTGTTGACGTGATCCAGACTCAAATCGGCCCTGCATGAATAGCCCCAGCCCGGACTAGCATGCGCACTTGACGGAGCCGAATATGATTACGGAGTAAAAAAAGCGGGAAAAAGGTTTATGGTATTTTTCTGGACACATTTCTTCATTTTCGTTGATTATTCTTCCCCGCTTCAATTACTGACGACCACCTACGGATACAGCATACAGTCTGCTCAACCACGCACAGTAGACGGCACCGTTGCCGCCGCTCACGCCGTAAGTATATCAATACACCCACAGAAGTACCCCTACTGCCTGTCTGCCAACCTTGAACTGCATGTCACACGAATAAATTGAATCTCTGCGGCATGCAGACCACACCCCGCTGTCTATAACAACTGCACACACACCACCTGCTAGTGCTGCAGTCAGGGCACCCACAAAAGACGACGTCACCCCAGCCCCGGAAGAAACTCTCTCACAGAAAGCAGAAAGGGGTGGGTTCGTAAGTTGCGGCTGGTGCGGCGTAGAAAAAAATAGAATGACGAACAGAATAGAACTAGAGAAGTCAAAAAGAGACCACGTTCAGTAACGACGCAGGCCCGCTTCGCCAACCTGAACCCACCATCCACAGTGGCGGCGTTGGTTTGTGCCGGGGGGGGGCCACAACCGAGAGAATCAGCCACTGGCCACAGACCACAGACCACAACGACCAGCCTCCACAAATAACCCGCGACACCCCCTCTGCACGCCGTAAAAGCCAAAAACGAGAAACCCCCCTAGCAGAGTCCTACACCCCCTCCCCCTTCCGCTACCCTCCCCCTGGAAGCCCTATCCTTTGCAGGCTGCAACCTCGCCGTCTTGCTGCTGCCGCCTGCCGCCAGACGCTAAAAAAGAAACAGAAGCAGAGAGACATTCCCCACCTGTAACCACCAAGCCCCATTTGCCCCAAGCTGCAAGCACCCAAGCACCACACTAACAACCTACACTACACCCCTCCCACCCCAGCCTTCAGCACACCACACCAACCACAACTGGCCACTTCTCTCGCTGCAAGCCACTGTCCAGTGCTCACTGCTGCAGTTGTTCTGCAAGCTTCCATCTCGCTGCAAGCACCACCCACGCCGCCGCACGCCCGGCGCCAACAGGAGGCCCCACACTTGTCCCATCATCCCCAGCGCCGCCGCCGTGCTACGACCAGGACCACTAACTTTTTAGCCTGCACCTCCCGAGCGAGCGAGCGCCTTGCGTTTTGGGGCTCCATAACTTCCTTTCCTTCTCCTCTTGACCACGCTTCCTACCTTTCCTCTTTGTTTTCACCTCTCTCTTTTTTTTGCCCTCCCGCATCTCACCATCTCCACCATCCAATTCATCTCTTCAAATATCGTCGTCAGTATCTCCATTGACAGAACAGGCGCGACGGTTGCTTTTTCACGCGGCGTCTCTCCTTTTTTTCCCCCTTCCCCACGATAGCGGCCTTCTCTCTGTCTGCCTTCTGCCCCCGTCCCTTTTGGGCGGCTTATTTTTTTCTACTCTTTCCCTCGTGCGCCGGACGCTTGCCTCGTCGCCGCGACAAGGCTTCCCAGCCAACGCATCACCTCAACCCCCCCTCGGCGCCGTAACGGTTTCGGACTCGCCTCTCAACGCAACCAGTTGATTTTTTTTTCCACATCATCTGTGCTATTCTCCCACGTCTACGCGCCCCGAAAATCGTCTTGATTACTTGTTTTGATACCCCCCCGCGCGACCGAACTCTCTCGACACCCACATACCCTCAATCACTCGATCACGGCTCAGTTAGCCTAACGAAACTGCTTTATCGACGGACTTAACGCTCATCTCACGACAATGTATTCCCATCGTGGCATGGGGGCCGTCCCCCCAAGCAACTCTCGTCTCAACGAGCTCCTCGAACAGATTCGTGCCGAGTTTGATAGCCAAATGCGTCAGAGCGAAGGCTTTGAGCATCAGAGTATGTACTCGGCTGGTCACAGCCGCGATCATCCGTTCAACATCAAAACCCCCCTGCTAACTTTGCGCGTGTGTGGAATTAGTCTCTGCTCAGGTCAGCGAAATGCAGCTTGTTCGAGAAAAGGTCTACAGCATGGAGCAGACACATATGACTCTGAAGCAAAAGTACGTCTGTTTCCTCCTGCGGCTATAGCTCTCTCGCCAATTCCACCCTTGATGCTCTCGGCTAACTGGTCTCTCTATCTCTCAGGTACGAGGAAGAAATCGCTATGCTCCGTCATCAACTCGAGGCTGCTCGTAAAGGTGGCCCCGCTCCTGGTATGCCCGGTCCTCCCCAGCACGCCGGCCCTTCTCAGCCGCCATCCATCGCTCCCGGAAACGGACTCTTCAATGGTATCATGGCCGGTGGTAACCAGCAAGGTCTAGCTCCTCCCCAGCAGCATGGCCCTCCTCAAGAGCAGATGGGCCCTCAGCATCAGATGGGCCAAGGCCCTCCCGGACTCCCGCCCGGTCCTCCTCACCCCAACCAACCTCCCTATCAGCAGGGCTATCCCCAAGGTCCTCCGGGCCCAAATGGCATTGGCCCCCAGCCTCCTCAAGCAACCGCCTCCCCGGGCCCTAGAGGAAGTCGTGGCGTCGGCCGCCCCCCGAACGCCGTTGGCCCTGCTACTCCGCAGATCAACACCCCGGCGCCGTATCCTGCCAATGCTTCCCCGCAAGTTAGCCACCCGACGCCTGACCACCGTCTCGGCCCGCGTCCCCCTCCCGTCGGAAACTCCCTTGGTGACCTCGAGGTTGATTCTGTTGCCCCTCATAACAAGAAGACTGGCAACGACTGGTATGCCATCTTCAACCCTCAGGTCCAGCGCGTCCTTGACGTCGATCTGGTCCACTCTCTCACGCACGAGAGTGTCGTCTGCTGCGTGAGATTTAGCCACGACGGCAAGTACATTGCCACCGGCTGCAACCGCTCTGCCCAGATCTTCGATGTCCAGACCGGCGAGAAGATCCTCACTCTCGAGGACCACGGTGCTCAGGACATGACTGCCGATCTTTACATTCGCAGCGTCTGCTTCAGCCCTGATGGTCGCTATCTTGCCACTGGTGCCGAAGATAAACTGATCCGAGTATGTTCTTACTCCATTCTTGACGTGACCATCCTTGTCGCTAACTTTTCAAATCAGGTTTGGGACATTCAGACTCGCACTATCCGCAACCATTTCTCGGGCCACGAGCAAGATATCTACTCGCTCGATTTTGCCCGCGATGGCCGCACAATTGCATCCGGCTCCGGCGACAGAACCGTTCGACTCTGGGATATTGAATCCGGCACCAATACGTTGACTCTTACGATAGAAGATGGCGTCACGACTGTTGCCATCTCCCCAGACACCCAGTATGTCGCTGCTGGTTCGCTCGACAAGAGCGTCCGCGTCTGGGACATCCACTCCGGTTTCCTGGTAGAGCGCCTCGAGGGACCAGACGGACACAAGGACAGTGTCTACTCCGTCGCGTTCTCGCCTAACGGAAAGGATCTCGTCTCTGGGTCCCTGGACAGAACCATCAAGATGTGGGAACTCACTGGCCCTCGCGGTGCTCCCAACGCTCAGCCTAAAGGGGGCAAGTGCGTTAAGACCTTTGAGGGCCACCGTGACTTTGTCCTCTCCGTAGCGCTCACGCCTGACGCAAACTGGGTCCTCTCGGGCTCCAAGGACCGTGGCGTGCAGTTCTGGGATCCCCGCACCGGCACAACGCAGCTCATGCTCCAGGGCCACAAGAACTCGGTTATTTCTGTTGCTCCTAGCCCTGCGGGCAGCTACTTCGCCACCGGTTCCGGTGATATGAAGGCTCGCATTTGGTCTTACCGACCTTATTAGTGGAACGACGTCATAAATTGGTCCGCGTACGCATCATCACCACCACCAGCTTGACAGGTATGTTGACGCATAACGTGGTCAAGGCGGCGGACTAGCTGCTTCCCAGACTCTAGAGCGGCATGATATCCTCAACCTGTTTGGGATGTGGGATTTGGGACTTGATTGGTTTCTTTCGTCATTTGCTTTGGATGCTTTACTTGGTGCGTTATTGCCAGCTTTTCCCAGCCAGGCTCGCGGGTTTGGTTCTTTTTGGCTATCAGATCGACTTGCGTCAATTTGGAATCGGGAGTGTACGGGGAGAGAGTCGTGTTTTGCGTTTATCCCCTTTGTTATCTTATTTTCGGCGAGATGGTGAATGACAGGAAGCGGAAGCAGTTTGGGCGTATGGGAAAAGGAGGAGGAAATTTTCTTTGTATGTACGTTGAACCAAGACTGCCCTTGGGGGGCATCTTGGCGGCGACTTGGTACGGGAAGTCTTACTACTTTGCTTATATCGGTAATGAATGGTATTGTAAGAATTGATGTGCATTGTATTCTCCAAAATTTGCATGCTCTAATAAGGAATACTAGGGTAGTATTACCTGTCGTTACGTTGTATAAATCACGTCTCTTGCATTTTATGGTTCATGATGTAGCACGCGGACATGTCATCCGCGTATACGTGCCTCATCGCATCTCACAGCGATCCGAACAAGCTCGACAGCTCATCCCCGGCCTTCTTCTTTGACTTCTTCGTCTTCTTCTTGTTCGGCTCGGCATCTGCCCCGTCCGAGCCGCCGCCCAACGCTCGACACTTCTTTCCCCTATTCGTAGGCGCGACGGCATACGTGTCCAGGCTAGACGTCTTGGATGGTTGTTTGGAGGAGGATGAGGCGGCGGCGCGGGCGGGGACGGACTCGCGCGATACGGCCACGCCCCTGTCAGCATCGATATTCTTCTTCTGGCCTGCTGCTGCTCGGAGACAAGGCGTCGAGGAGTCGTCCGCGGAACCGGTGGTGTGTGTAGTATAGTCGGGGGCTTCCTGCGGCGGCGGCGGCGGCGGCGGGGATATGGAGGTGAGAATGGATGATAGGCTGGCGAGGACGCTGAGGAGAAGCAGCCCGAGGGTGGCGTGCTGGTTATCGGCGATGAGTTGGGAGAAGCAGCTGTCGGGTCATCATTGTCGGGTCAGCGAGGTGGTTGACAAAACGAGCGCCCCGCGCCGGGTTTTTGATCGGGGCCAGATCATGAAAGGGGGGGATTTGAATGAAGGAGAACGTACAGGTACGCCTTGGGGACGGTGTGGTCGCGCAGCAGGGCAGCGCGCGCGAGAAACTGCCGCCGCCGCTGCCGCCGCAGGCGCACCCGCTTTTCGGTCGTCTTCGTCCTCTTGGGTTGGGACTTGCCGGCGGCGGCGGCGGTCGGCGGCGAATCGCGCAGGTCGGCGGCCAGGGAGCGGGCGCCGCGCCGGACGAGCTGGAAGGAGGACCACCAGTGCGAGGCGCCGTGCTGGTTGCGGTGACGTCGGTGGAAGGCCTCGAGGATGGGCAGCAGGGAAGTCGCGAGGGTGGTGAGGGCGACGTCGTCGGCGGCGGCGGTGCCGTCGCCGTGGTCCATGAAAAAGGAGTGGTAAGCGGCGCTGGTTGAAAGAGACGGGACAGCACGTGGCAGCGGGAGGATCGGGGAGCCGAAAGTCGGAGGTAAAAAAAAAAAAAAAAAAAAAGG